GTTGGCTGTCATGGTAAAGAATCTTATTGTATTGTTGACTCCCATCGTAATGAATCTTATGGGGCTGGTGATTACCGATATAAAGAATCTTACTGAGGAGTTGCCTACCATGGGGAAAAAAAGGATGTCGACTCCCATTATGAATAACCTTACTGGGGTTTTGGCTACCATGGGAAATCTTATCGATGTTAACCCACCATATAAGGAATATTACTAAGGATGTCGACTCCATTGCGAATAATCCTACTGGAATGTCGATCCCATTATGAATAACCTTACTGGGGTGTCTTGGCTACCATGGGAAAAATCTTAGGATTTAACCACCATGATAAAGAATATTACTAAGGATGTCGATTCCATTGTGAAAATCTCTGGATCGACTCCATTTGAACAATCTTACGGGTGCGTCTAACCCAGGCGAAAAATCTTATGGATGTTTAACCCCATGATGAATAATCCTACTGGAATGTCGACTCCCATTGTGAATAATCCTACTGGAATGTCGACTCCCATTGTGAATAATCCTACTGGAATGTCGACTCCCATTGTGAATAATCCTACTGGAATGTCGACTCCCATTGTGAAATCTTACCGGTGTGTTGGCTGCCATGATAAACAACCTTACTGGAGTGTTGACTTCCACGACAAAGAATCCCACTGGAACTCCGTAATTCCAGCGTTGTCGACCGCGATAAAGAATTTCACAGTCGGTATCGATTTCCCTCGCCAGCTGCACGGGAACAGTTGGTCTGGCTGCAGCGTTTACTTCGTTATTTGAGGACGGGGGGGCGGGGGGGGGGGGAATTGCCTCTACGCTGGGAAACCTTGATGATATCCTGCCTGGTATTTATGGGCTGGTGTTGGGGCCGGTTCGGGCTGGTGGTATTGGGTATGCTGTTTTTCGCTTTTTTTTTTTTTTTTTTTTTTTTTTTCTTTTTCTTTGGATGGCTTGTTCGTTCGGGAAGTCCTTTTTTTCGTGTTTTTTTTTCGTTTTTTTTTTTTTCTTACCTTTTGGTGCTAGGCCTAAGGTATGTTTGATTAATCTCTTTGTTCATTTGTGTATTTGTTTGTTTGTTCGTCATTTGTGGATTTGATTTATTTATTTAGTTGGTGGTTAGTGGCAGGTGGAGGTGGACTTTGGGGGGAGGGGGGGGGGCGCAGGTCTTGGGCACTCAAGATGGCGTCCTCTTGCTCTGCCTCCAGCCTCGATGAAAGAGCGCTGATATATATATATATATATATATATATATATATATATATATATATATATATATATATATATATATATATATATAATATATTATATATATATTATATATATTATATATGCGTGTGTGTGTGTGTGTGTGTGTGTGGTGTGTGTGGTGTGTGTGTGGTGTGTGTGTGTGTGTGTGTGTGTGTGTGTGTGTGTGTGTGTGTGTCTGTGTGTGTGTTTTGTCTATTGCTGTGTGCTGCGTGCATGATAGATAAGCATTAAAGGAAAGAAAAATGAAATAAGTCACGAAGAATGCACGGCATATTATGCACTGTGCAATACAGGTTGGAACGTACCGATTTTGGGGTTATGGTTGGAAGGCTGCAGATTTTTTTTTTTTTATTCACAGTCAGCCGATTTAATGCTCAATATATAAGATGACCTAGAATCCTGTTTGTGGAATTTTTTAGAAAAAATGAGATTTGTTTTGAGCCAATTAAAACGGAAAGAATGTTTTTTTTTTAATGAATGTTGATAGTGATAAAGATCTAGATCATAATTTATTATATTTTATGGAAAGGTGCAGTTCGATATGACGCTGTTGCTAAGTGTCTGTCTGTCTGTTTTTGTTCGCAGATATTTGGGGTAATTTGGATATTATGTTTATCTCTCTATCTATCTATCTATCTCGCTATCTCTCTCCTCTATCTCTATCTCTATCTCGCATTTCTCTCTCTCTCTCTCTCTCTTATCTTATCTTATCTTTCTCTTATCTCTCTTCTCTCTTCTCTTCTCTTCTCTCTTCTCTTTCTCTTCTCCTTCTCTTCCTCTTCTCTTCTCTTCTCTTCTCTTTCTCTTTCTCTCTTTCTTTCTCTCTCTCTTCTCTTCTTTCCTCTCCTCTCCTCTCCTCTCTCTCTCTCTCTCTCTCTCTCTCTCCCTCTCTCTCCCTCTCTCTCTCTCTCTCTCTCTCTCTCTCTCTCTTCTCCATGTATACTTATGTTTGTATATGTATTTATCTATGTATCCATCTATATATGATTGCATTTATCTGCCTGTATCTGACCCAACGTTTATTTCTGTTTCAGGTACGTGTATGTGGAGTGGCTCTCGGGGTGCCTTGGTGACTGGTGCCTGAGGATGCGTGAGTGATTGCGGCCAGGGGCGTTTGGCAGGTTTTGACAGACGGGTATTGTATAGAAAAGATGTTTCGTCTGATGCGGCCCTCTGGGATGGGTGTTTAGGGGATGCGTCCTGTCTTTCTTTTTGAACTTTTTCGTTTATGTAAATCTTTTGGCCAGTTTATGATTAGAATGAATTTTCGGTCAATAGGCTAGATGATTTGACCGGCTGTGAGCGCGAAATCCGGGTTAAAACGAGATATTTTGGCCATCCTCTACCATCCAGACCAACTGTAGCAAACAGCAGTTGTGAAATTAACCGTTTTGTGCGACCAGCGGGCAGGACCATTATTGTTTCTTTTTACTTTTTTTGATATCTGTGACCAGTTGGTTTGACCTTCAGGAAGACGGGGGTGGATGGGGGGGGGGGGGGGGGATGGGGGGTTGTGACCAGACATGTGGAGGGCTTGGAGGGGCGGGGATAAGGTCAGTCTGCCAGCACTCTGCAAACTTTTTAGCAACTATTAGCATGATTGCCAAAGTTTGTTTGCGGGTGGGCAAGGGAGGGGGAAGGGATGGGGGGGAGAGGGGAGGGGGAGGGGAGGGAAGGGAGAGGGGAGGGAGCGGTGGGAGGAGAAGGAAAGGGGAGGGAGAGGGAAGGAGGAAGGGAGAAGAGGAGGGGGAAGTAATGGGCGAGGGAAGAGAGGAGGGAGGGAGAAGGGGATAGAAGGGGGTGGGTAGGGAAGGGAGAATGGACGGATTTCTGTGCATATATGTTGTTATTTTGTTTGTTTGTATCCTTTCTTTGTTTTCCTTCCATCATATTTTATCACTGAGGTCGAGGCAGAGCAGAAATCACAGAACAGATTTGATGTGATACAGAACGAGGAGGGGGAAGGAAAAGAGAAAAAAAAAATGGCAAAAGAAAAGAAAGGAAAGAAAACAAAGGCGAATATAGATGGCGAGGAGGAGGATGAACAATGCGAGAACAGAAAGAGAGTGAAGCACAAGAATAAGGAGGAAGGAGCGAAGGAAACGGAGAAACAAAAGGGAAACTGCAACGGTGGCGCTCGACTGGGAAAAGGGGAGGGGGGGGGGAGGGCAAGGCAGTCAGCCGGGCGTGACCTCGTTCCGGGAATCAGCCAAGGTCACACGTTTGAAGACAGAAGGGGGACAAGGTCACCGTCGGTCCCCGATGGTGAAGGCGATCGGTCTGGACAGTCAGCCATTGTGAACGGGGGAAAAATTCTCTCTATGTCTTCTGTCTGTCTCTCTCTCTCTCTCTCTTTCTCTCATCTCTCTCTCTCTCCTTCTCTCTCTCTCTCCCTCTCTTCCCATCTCTTCTCCTTCTTCTCTCTCTCTCTCTCTCTCTCTCTCTTCTCATCCGTCTCATCCTTTCTCCTCTTTCTCCTCTCCCTTTCCTTCTCCCTTCCCGTCTTCCTCCATCTCTTCCCTCTCTTCTCTTCATCTCCCTCTCCCTTCTCCTCCCTCCTCACCCTCCTTTCCTCCTCCCCCCTCTCCCTTCCCCTACCTCCCCTCTTCCTTCCCTTCCCCCCTTACTTCCCCCTCCTCTCTCTCTTCTTCCCCCTCCCTTTCTCTTTTCATCTCCTTTCTGCTCGCGAAGGAAGACTGCCTGCCGGACTGCCTACCGTCGCCTCGTCTCCGAAGGAATTTATATCGATGGCATTGATTTTGTCGGAAAGACTTTTCCGTTCAGTGTCATTACTTTCTGGTGTGTCTCATTATTATTATTTTTTTTTTATTATTATTGTCCGTGACGTTATTAGTTTTTTAAGCGTTGCTGTTTGTGTTTTTTATTATTATTGTTATTGTTATTATTAATGTTTATTATTATCATTATAAATATTAATTTACTTTCCTTATCATTATTATTATTATTATTAACAATGTTTATTAATATCATTACCTGATAATTATTTTCCTTATCATTATTATTTTAAATTATTATTATTAATTATTATTATTATTATTAATATCAATTATTATTATTATTATATTATTAATTATTATTAATATCATTATTATTATTATAATTCATTATTATTCATTATATATCATTATATCATCACATTATTATTTATATATTCATCATATAATTATTATTTTATTTATCAAATTATTGTTATAGGTATTGCCATTTCAATGTTACAAGGCGACACGGTCAGGCAAATACACCCGAATTCCTCCGGCTTTCCACCAGAGCCGCATCAGGCAGACAGGAGAGCCGTCCCAGCTGACCTCAGCCGCCGGCCGTCGCGTGGCTCACTTCAGCACGAGGTCAAATGTTTTCAGCAGCGGACTCTTAGACGCCGTCGGTCGGGTCATAAAGGAGCGGAGTGGCCAAGTATTCAGAAATAAAACTGATACGGAGCTTGCGAGCGGAGAGGGAGGGAGGAAGCGAGGGGAGGGAGGAAGCGAGGGGGAGGGAGGAGGAAGCGAGGGGGAGGAGGAGGAAGCGAGAGGAAGTGGGGAGAGGGGAGAGAGAGGAAGAGAGGGAGAGGGAGAGGAGGAGGAGGGATATGTCGGGGGGTGGGATGGGAGGGGGGGAGGGGTGGAAGGAATGAAGGGAGCGAGGGAGGGAAGCAGGGTGTAAGGGAGAGATGGAGGGAATGAAAGAGAGATGTTGAGGGAAATGGAAGGAGTGGGAAGAAGGGGAATAGGGGTAGAGAACGAGAAATGAAACTGACCGACAGATAGACAGGGATGAAATGACAAACAGACAGGTAGACAGCAATGAAGGGACAGACAACATGACCAGTTCTGAAGTGACAAACGCAGATATGAACACGTCCGAAGAGACGGAGACCGGCACCATCAAAACCGAGGCAAGCAGCCGAGTCGCAGAACATAACAAAGAAACGTGTCACATCTCGGGGAACGTTAGGAAGCCGAGCCGTTTCCCCGACAAAGAAACAAAGAAACAGAGAGCAGTACCAAGGACTCCCTAACAAGCAAACGCCGATACCAACATGGGGGTGGGGTGGGGGGGGTGGGGGGGGGTGGGGGGGAGGTTGGAAGACATGCGCAGACATCTGGAGGAGGGGGTTGGAGGCGGAGGGTCACATTGCAGCTGGAGTGTCACTTTACATTGCAAGGAGAATGGCCATGGCACGAGAGGGGGGGGGGGGCTGTGGAAGGGGGAGGGGGTGGTATATTTCTGTTACTGTCATCCCTTTGCTAAGGGGGAGTGAAGGGGGGGGGGTAATGTTGTGAGACTACTTGGGGGCGAGTGCGATATGGGGTAAGAGAGAGAGAGAGAGAGAGAGAGAGAGAAGAGAGAGAGAGAGAGAGAGAGAGAGAGAGAGAGAGAGAGAGAGAGAGAGAAGTAAAGAAGAAGACAGATAGCTGTAAGGAGGAAGGGTAGAAAGAAGAGAGAGAAGAGAGAGGAGAGAGAGAGAGAGAGAGAGAGAGAGAGAGAGAGAGAGAGAGAGAGAGAGAGAGAGAGCGGACGAGAGAAAGAGAGGGCTGGAGGAAGAGGAGGAGGCAGCAGCGATGAGGACAGATGCCGGAGTGGGCGAGGCCCCAAGAAGTAGCCTGCATAACGTGCTCAGGTAGAAGTGGTTTGCGTGTGAGAGCACGCATGCGCGCAGTGTCCGGGTGGCCGACAGTGCAAGATCAATGTCAGCAGAATCGGAATGTTGCGGCATTCAAGCATTTATGGGACAACTAACAGGCACAAAAATTGATAAACACGTTGCAAGCTGTTCCCCGTATGACGTGGAGGATCAATAATAAACAGTTGCGTAATGTCTAGCAGACTCCCTGCTGCTACCCTGGCCTGCCTGCCTGCCATCCGATCCGTCTGGCTTGCCATCCTGGGTGTCTACCTGCCTGTCATCTCGTCTGACGGCTTGGCCTACCTACCTGGCTTAGTTGCTTGACAGCCCTCTTTCCCATCCTGATTGGCCGATCACTTGGGCTTTCTTCCCCGCTGCTCGATTGGCCGTCCAGTCTGCGTGTCCTTCCGTGGCAGATCGTTCTCATCCGTCTCGGCAGGTCGTCCCAGGCCTAGCCAGTCTGCCTGCTTCCCGCCTGCTTCCCTGCTACTTCACATCTCCGTCTTTCTGTCCGCGGAAAGTCGCAGTCGTCTGCTAGCTTACTTCTTTGTTCCGACCGACTTGTTTATGCACCTGGCTTGTTTACCTACAACCGGTGGCTTTTGTTTACGTGATGCACATTTTTTGTGGTAAGTGGTGGAGAGATCGTGGAGGTGTAGACAAGCACACATGCTGCTGCTCCTGTGCTTGATTGTTTAGTGCATGCGTGTCGGCCATGCCTGTAATGAATCGTCTGTCGGAGCCATGTGGTACTGTCATGCGAAGGGCATTAGCGTCTCATGACAGAGGCGCATGAGGCGACAAAAGAGTGATTCCGCCTACGTCGCTTTCTCTAGCAGGTGCTGCCTGTACCTGCTTGGCTCCGGTGCCTTTGGCCTGTCTTGACCTCTTCATCTCTGACCTGCATCTGCCCGATTGCTATCGGCCCGACCTCCTCCCGCCCGATCTGGCACCTGCATTTCATGATCGAGCACCCTTTGTCTGACATGACTATCTCAACCTGTTTTCTGGTCCGCGTTGCCGGCGTTCTTGCTTTCTTTGTATCACCTGTCATACACGTATTCCCTGCCTCTCTCTCTCTCTCCTCTCTCTCTCATTCTCACTCTTCCTCTCCCCTTCCCGTATCCCTTTCCCCACCCCCTCCCTCCCTCTCTCCCTCCTCTCTTCCTCTCCCTCGCTGTCTCCCTTCCCCATCCCTCCTCCCGCCTTCTTTTCTCTCCCTGTCAAATCCCGATCATTCCTTCCTCCCCACCCTTTGTTTTTATCCCTCTCTCCCTTCCCCATCCCTCCTCCTTCCTTTATTTTCCCTCTGAACCCTATCATTCTTTAGTTTCCTCTCCTTTTTTCCCTTCTCTATCCCTCTCTCCCTTGCTCGCTCTTCCTCTTATCTTCGCAAGAAAGCAACAGCAGCATAGCCAAGCATACCCAAGCTTGCAAGACAAAGAATAAAAGTCTGATGAGAGGGGAGGGGAGAGGAGAGGGAGAGGAGAGCGAGAGAGGAGGGACCAAGGAAGGGAAGGACAGCGAAGGAGAGGGGAGGGATAAGAGGTGGGGAGAGTGAGAGGGGGTGGGAAAGGAGAGGAGAGGAGGAGAGGAGGAGACGAGAGGAGAGGAGAGGAAGGTAAGTAGATGGACGAAGGAGGAAAGAGGAGGAGAGGGAGGGGAGACGAGAGGAGAGGAGAGGAGGAGAGGGAGGGAGGAGAGAGAGAGGAGGAGAGGTAAGTAGGATGGACGAAGGAGGAAAGGGATAAGGGGGGAGGGGGAGGGAGGGAGGGGGGAGGTGCGATCGTGCATCCACTCCTGATTGCTACAGAAACCCAGTTCGTGTATAATATTGCGAGAGTTTCTGCAACACGCACCTGCACGCCGGTCATAACGCCCCTCCCGTCTTTCTGATCTTTCTTCACCTTCTCTTCCCTCTTTTCTCCCCCCTTTACCTATTATTACTTTTCGTCGATCTTCTACTGTGTCCACCTCTCCTCTCCTCTCCTTTCTTTTCAATTTGCCCGCCCCCCCCCTATCTCCGTGTCATCTCTCTCTCTCTCTCTCTCTCTCTCTCTCTCTCTCTTCTCTCTCTCTCTCTCTCTCTCTCTCCTCTCTCTCTCTCTCTCTCTTCTCTCTCTTCTCTCTACCTCGTCTCTCCCTTTCCTTCCCCCTTTCTTCTCTCTACCTGTCTCTCCTCGCTTCCCTCTCCTCTCTGTTATCTCATCTCCGCTTCCCCTCTCCGCTCTCCTATCTCCTCTCGCTCTCCCTCTCTTTTTATCTCTGCTACCTCCTTCGTTTCAAATTTCGACAAGGGAATCGGTAAGGGGAAAAAAGAGCCTTCGTTTTAGGGTGGGGGTTTGGGGTGGTGGAGGGGGGTGGGGGTGTCTCATGGGCGAGGGTAGAGGTTCCGAAAGTTGAGGGAGGCCGATCGTCTTTGCTCCATTTTCTAAGATAGATGGGGAGAGAGGGAAGAGGAGAGGATAGAAAAGAGTGAGAGTAGAGAAGAGTGAGAGAGTGAGTGGGAGAAAGAGAGTGAAAGGGAGAAAGAGAGTCAAAGGGAGAGAGAGAGAGAGAAGAGGAGGGATAGAAGAGAGAGAGAGAAAGGATAGGAAGAGAGGGGAGAGGATGGGAAGAGAGGGGGAGGGATAGGAAGAGTGGGGGACGGATAGGACGAGAAAGGGATAGGAAGAGAGAGAGAAAGAGATGGGAGACAGACAGACAGACAAACAGCCTATGAAAGAAGAGACATAGGGAAGAGAAGCAAAAAGGAACAAATGGATGAAAAGGGGGGCACGGGATGTGAATGGGAAACGCGGAACGGCGGTAATGGATTGACAGAGATGGCGGGAGCCGAGCCGAGCCGAGCCGAGCCGTTCGAAAGCCAAATAGACCTCTGACTGCCAGGCCGGACTCGCCTCTCTGCATCCCACAAGGACTCGCCCGGGCTTAACCGACTGACGGACTCCATGAGCTTCGCCGAGATTTACGGACTCGCTGAGACTCATCTGAGATTTACAGACTCATTAGGATTTCGTCGAGACTCGCTGCAGATCGCCGTGACGATTCCTCTGCGGGCCTCCGGGCGAGAGGCGATGGCGGAGGAATGCGAAGGCTGCAGCGTGTACTGGAGAGGGAGGGAAGCGAGCATTCCTGGTCCTGCCGGGGAGCTACTGGCAACTCTCTGATTTTTAGTTTCTCTCTCTCTCTGTCTCCCTCTCCCTCTTTCTCTCTCTATCTGTCTGTCTCTTTTTCTGTCTCTGTCTGTCTGTCTTGTCTCTCTCTCTCTCTCTCTCTCTCTCTCTCTCTCTCTCTCTCTCTCTCTCTCTCTCCTCTCTCTCTCTCTCTCTCTCTCTCTCTCTCTCTCTCTCTCTCTCTCGTCTCTCTCTCTTCCTCTCCCCCCTCTCTCCTCTTTGTGTCTGTCTGTCTCTCTCTCTCTTTCTCTCCCCCCCTCTCTCTCTTTGTCGCTTTCCTCTCCTCTTCCATCAGCGTCTCCCCAGACTTCCCCTGTCATCGCCCCTGCCTCGCCCTTTGTCTTTTCTCCCTGACGCTTGTCTCCCCTGCCTTCGCCCTCATTCGCGAATACGTACCACCCTCCCTCTCCCTCTTTCCTGCCCTGCCTCTCCCCTCCCTCCCCTTCCCCTTCCTCTCCCCTCATCCTCCCCCTGCTAGTCCCCTCCCTTCCCCTCCCTCTCTCTCTCCCTTCTTCCTGTCCCCTGCCTCTCCCCTCCCTTTTCCCCCCCCTCTTCCTCCCCCTGCTAGTCCCCTCCCTTTCCCTTCCCCCTCTCTCCCTTCCCCTTCCCCTCTTCACTTCCCCTTCCCCTCCTCTCCCTCTTCCTGCCCCTGCCTCTCCCCCTTCCTTCCCCTTCCCCTCGCTTCCCCCTTCCCCTCCCTTCTCCCTTCCCCTCCCTCTCTCGGTACACCATACTATATGTCAGTGTCCTGTGCTTGAGATGACAGTTGCACCTGCACAGGCTGTATGGGTGATTAGGAATGACAGGGCATTTAAAGATTTTAAGAGTTACAGTATTGCATGAACAACGTCAGTGTGCCAGGTGAATGTGTACTGTAGTGTGGGTTATTACTCCTTATGAGGGTGTAATGGCCTGAGCAGAGTTTCAGTATGACTGTCATATGCCAGACATCATTCTTCTGAGACACGAGCATTTCAGTCGATAATCAAATCTATTCTTTTAAGCGGGAGTCGTGTCGTGTGTAGTGCAAGATTGTTGTGTTGTATTAGGCTGTATGTGATTATGGGAACTTAAGAGGGACTTATCTAGAATGTATTGTGTTGTGTCACTCTCCTGACATGAACTCACTGGCTCTGTGTACCTGTATTTTATGAAATCTGAATACTGTACATAGTCTCATCTTTTATTGTACCTTAAAGTTTTGTATATGAAATGTGAAGCCACGCAGCGACTTATTAAGATGAGGATGAGGATAACCGAAGTTGCCTCATCTTTTTCAGATGAAAAATTTGGTCTCAATAAACTTGTCAAACTAGAGAAGAAAAAAAAAATTCCCTCCCTCCTTCGCTCCTTCCATCCTTCCTTGCCTCTTTCTCTCTCTCTCTCTATTCCTCCTTTCCTTCCCCCGCCCTTATCCCTCATCCGCCCTATCGATCACCCACGCTTCAGTTACAGATGTTGGCACTGATGCAGGTGTGACAGAGGCAGGGGTGGGGGTGGGGGGGGCGAGTGCCGGCTGGGTGAATAGGATAGGGTATGGTGGGGGAGAATGTTCTCGTGCTTTATTATTAATACACACGCACACACACACACACACACATCCCCCTTCTCCCCCTCTCTTTCTCTCTTCCTCTATTCCTCCCTCCCTCCTTCCCTCTCCTTCTCTTCCTCTCTCCCTCCCTCCCTCCTCCTTCCTCCTGTCTCCCTCTCTTCCTCTCCTCTCCCCTCCGACCTGTGCCCTTCTCTCCCTCCTTCCCTCTCTCTCTCTTCCCTCTCTCCTCCTCTCTTCTCTTTCTCTCTCTCCTCCCCCTCTTCCTCCTCTCCTTTCCATTCTCCCTCCCTCTCTTCCTCCCTCCCACCCTCCCTCCCTCCCTCTCTTCTCTCCCTCCTCCTCCTCTCCTCTCCTCCCCCTCT